ACAATACTACTCATGCTTTTTTCTAACTTGTGTTTTTCATACATTATACTGCACATGGCTTTCTGGGTCAATAGCTGTATTTCTACATGGTAGCCCATTTCCAACCAGTTAGAAGGACCACAGGAGTGAGCCAATCCTTCATCAAGCTTCCTGAAGTTTTGCCTCATCACCTCAAAACACTTGCATTCTTCATACCAGCTGGACCTAAAGTGCATCCCACAGCAGTTAGGCAGGGAAGTGCCTACACCTAATTGCGGGGTGAAAACGGTGCTATATAACCCACCAGAGGAATGCTGGCCAGAGCAGCACTGTGTTCACTCATATAGGACTGGGCCCCTCATTCCCCAGCTTCTATGAAGGGCTGAACAGGGAAGGAATAGCCCCCCACCCAGACCCTGAACCTTTGGACCTCACGTTTACTCAACTGCAACTCACAAAGTCAATATCATTAGTAGTCCATCTGCAGAGCTGCTCCCAATGGGCACAGCATCCTGCAACTCCCAGGAACTCTATATCTTCATCAGGGGAAGAGCCTGTCTGAGAAAGGGTCCTGGTCACCCTTGCTCTGTCCCAAGAGACAAAGTCCAGCAGACAGTGCTGGTGGGGCCAACACAAACAAGTACCTCCCAGCACTCATGCCAGGGGTCTCTGCTTCCCGCTCTAGAAAATGCACGTTTTTAAAAGGTTCATATCTCACTGGGTGGTTATAAAAGCTCAATGAATTGATGTGTGTGACACGCTTCAGACCTTGCCTGACTCAGCAAATGCTCAAAAGGGCAGCTATTCTCACTATGGCCCAGGGTGCAGGTATCAGAGTCTGCTGATGGGACGTTCAGCATGGAACATGCACCTTTCATCAAGTTCAAAGAAGTCAGTAAAGATGAGACCCCTGACGTCCCATGCAAGGGCAATGGCCATTAATCTGGGAGAGCAGAGAGGCCCCTCTGACTGCCTGAGAGGCCAGGTCAGCACCTTGGGATGAGAGTGAGAGACAGATGAGGAAACAGCAGGGACAGAGCCCCAGGAAGCCTACAAAGGATTCCAGGGCAGTGGCCAGCAAGGTGCCCCAGACCACATGCCAGGACAAGCAATCCTGGGCAGGTGCAGATTCCCTTATGCCATATCTGCCTCCTCACATGGGGACAGTCTACCTGCCTCATTTGATGGGGTATGAATAGGAAACTAGTGGGTCCTCAGAGACAGCTGTCAGTTAGGCTGCCTACAGGCTGAAGTCAGATGCCAGGGTGTGGCCTGTGTTGGGACCTTTTTCCTCCTCTGGAGCCGCGGCCATTATTGGGTGTTGGCTGAGGGCCTCAGGGGTCAGCATTCCACATGCGTGACCTGGCTGGATTGGCGCCCGCTGGCTTTTGACTTTAGTCCCGCCTAATGGTTTAATCTGAAATCTGCCTAGGCCCCTTAGTGACAGTGACCTAACTGCTCCTTATTGGTTTTCGCTACTGTCTCTTCTTACTCCTTCTATCGCTACATAACCTTGTCCCTGACACAGTAGAGTTGAGATTGCTGCACCTTCATGGTTGACTCATCTCCCGACTCAGTGTGATTGTGGGCCAGGTTGGGTGGCAGGCGAGGTCGCGATACTTACCCTCTCGCTCAGCCCAGGAGACACTAGCTCGTCTAGTGTGCTTCACCACCTCTGTCAGAGGGCCGTTCCGACAGCTGGTGCCTCGGAGAGGACAGGATGGTCTCCTGCGTACCATTGTCGCAGGGGGTGACAGCCCTGAGCGAGCAGACAGGCAGGCAGGGTCCATACCTTGCAGAACCAGGCCAGCTCATACTGTAGGTCCTTGATGGTACTACTTGTCAATTCCAGAACATCCTGAGGGAACAGGCTGAGTTTGTGACAGGTCTTTTGGCTGAGGTGACAGGGGTGGAGGTGGTCTGAGGCTCCCTCTGGGGTCCTGTGAGTGGACACAGATGAGCCTCCATCCCAGAGCCATGCTACTGCCAGCCCTGACAAGTCCCCTCCTGTGTGGCTGCACCATCCCAGGTGCAAGATCAGGCCTATCCCAGGTGACCCAGTCCCACAGGTACCACAGCCCACTACTCCCCAGTGAGTGAACACCTGTTCTACTTGGCCAGTAGTGTGCACAGGTCATGATGGACCCTCCTAGCCCCTCCTCAATCGGGTATGTGTCCTGTAGAGTTGGCCTCTTGGACCGACTATACTTGGACCTAGCTCATGCACCCTCTGCTCCTCTCATTCTGCACCAACCCTTCTAGCTCTCTCTGGCCTTTCTTCACCTGTGGCATCTGAGCTCTCTCTGATCTGGTCCTCCATGCCAGCATCCCTTCATGGTTCCAACCATCCCTATAACACACCAAGCTTCAGTGCTGTTGCACTCAGGCCTGCAACTCCAACACCTGGGTGCTTCCCAAGCAGTTCAGGGGGGCCCCTACAATGCTCAGAGCTTTAGCCTCAGGTCAGGATAGGTGGTGAAGCAATCAGGCTGGAATGTTTTAAATAGAGATTAGGTGCCTTGACACAAAGCTAATCCTTCGGGCCTAAAGTTTTTGTGGTAGGCAGAAGGTATTAATATTCAGTCAAACTTAGAAAAGCTGCGGTACTTCCCAGGATGAAGTACCACAGACAGCCTCTGCCCCATGTCTGCCCCTATAGTCAGCTGGGCATCAGCAGTAGAGCCAGGAGCCCCTGCACTGGAAGGATATTTCCCTGGATGAAGTGGCCTCCCCTTGCTGGTCCTGCCATGGACTTCAGGAACAGTATTCATGTCTGGGAGGCAATGCTGTGTCTAGCTTCAAGGGCCCCAGGGCAGCCACATCTGGGCTGCTGGGGTCCAGCCATGGGCCTAGAAGTCACCAGTCACCCTGGCTGGCCAGGATTCCTGCGTTAGCCAAACACCGCTTGTCCTGTATCAGCCATTACTGATTCCACCAGCCAGGTGGAGGGGGCAGAGGGACCTGCCCAGTGCCAGAAGCCTTATAGGCAAGTGACAGAGGAGCTGGGAGGTTCTGATGCAGGCTCCAGCCTCCTGATTCTTCAGCTGACTCACTGTCTTCTGCTTCCCAGTTGGCCCATGGGTACCAAGGACTCATTTACTTTATTTACTACTGTCTCCATCCACATCCGAGACAGTCCTAGCAGAGCACTGCTACATGAATGAGTGGACGTTTCAAGCTTGTTATAGTTTGAAGTTCCCCCAAAAGCTCACACATAGGGCTGGGGTAGAGCGCTCAGCGGTAGAGCGCTAGCCTAGCACATGTGAGGCCCTGGGTTCGATCCTCAGCACCACATATACATAAATAAAATAAAGATATTATGTCCAATTACAACTAATAAATAAATATTTTTTAAAAAGCACACACGTGAAACAATGCAAGGTTTGGAGAAGAAATGATTGGGTTATAGCCTTAATCTAATCAGTGAATTAATCCCCAATGGGATTAAACTAAGTGGTCACTGGAGGGATTTGGAGTATGGCTAGAGGAAGTGGTTTACTGGGGGCATGGCTATGGGGTATATATATTTTGTATCTGGAGAGTGCAGTCTCTCTCTGCTTCCTGATCACCATGATGTGAGCTATTTCCCTCCGCCACCCTCTCCCACCATGTTGTTCAGCTTCACTTCAAGCCCAGAAGAACTGGCCTTCTATGGACTAAGACCTCTGAAACCATATGCTTCCAAATAAATCTTTCTTTTTTTACACTTGTGCTGGTAGGGTCCTTTAGTCATAGCAGCAAAAAAGCTGACTAAAACAGAGCTCTATTCGGATCTCAATCCTGTGATACCCACAAAGGCCAGACATGCCCCTAGCATCCACAGCCCTACATGTTCCCCATCACTGACTGTCCAGCCCTAAACCACACATAGGGGGCCTCCAAGTACTGCAACCATCCCCCAGGCCTGTGCCTGGGTCTGTCACCAAGTGACAGAGATAGGCCTACAGGTTCCACTCCCCATCAAAGAGCCTGCTCCCCACAAAGCCCTGGGCTCCTAAATAATGCACCACAGGTTTCTCCTTATAAAAGCTGCATGGACTGAGGAACAGGAGGACCTTGGTTCCCAAACCCAGAGGCTAGCCAGGGCCTCAATCCTCGCTCACCTTGATGAACCACTGCTTCAGCACCTCACGGGCCCACTGGCAGGCCTCACAGCTCTCTCTGGTAACCTTTAAATGTCTGTTGTGCACTGAAGAGAGCACAGAGAGTGGGAGACAGAACACATGCACCCACGTATCACAGGACCCTTGGCCAGAAACAACTGGCTTGAAGACTCCAGCAGCTGGGCCCACCCAGGCCAGTCGATGGGATACATGGAAGACGAGGGTCTCATCTTCCTCAGAACCCACCCACAGCCTCAGAATAGTAAAAGGAAGGAGACTCCAGCCTCCCCACACCTCTTTGCCTGCCCTAAGGGCTGAGCCCCACTTGGGAGGAAAGAGGAACTCAACAGGAACTCACAACAGGACTCGTTTTTCCTTTTTGCAGTTTCCAAACTTCGCCTGCATCTTGCTCATCTCCTGCTCCTTCTATGGAGAGTCTTGCCAGGTGTCTGTCTTGCACAGACACTGCTGCCACCTCCCAAGTCAGTGCTCTTTCTTCCTCCCCATGTCCTCAAGTGCTCCTGTGGGCACAGACTCAGAGTTCAGCAGGGCTAGGCCTGTATGGCTGCGGCACAGGTTGGGTGTTGTGACCACAAACTGATCTTGCCAGCCTCATATATGCTGAGGACTTAGGCTCATTTTATGTATAAACAGCAAATCTGCAATCCTAACTTATTCTGGACTTTCTAGGAATGCAGCTTCATGCCAACTGAGAGGTGGGTATTTTGTTCAGGATTCCACCAGGGCTGCTCTCTACCCTGGAAACCCTGCCAGTGCCATTATCTGAGACACAATGACAACCACCCACGTGGCCACACTGTGGCCATGGTGCAGTACACACTGCAGCTCTGCCTGGGTGTTTGCATGTCAGAACACTCTCTGTTACTACTTCCCTTCACAGCAGTTTGGAAAGTGTCCTGACTGTTTTTAATTATGGATTCAGATTTTATTACTTTTGGATTTCAGTGGAGAGTAGCAGAGGGGCATTGTTAAGGATTATAGAAAGAGATGTTAGGTCGGGGGGACAATGAGAGCTGGGGTCTGCAGCCCCACACTGAGGTCAGGCACACTACCAGGTCAGTGTCTTGAGGGAGTTGATGAGGGCCAGATTTCTGAGCATGTCACTGCAGTCATTCCTGATGTCAGTGAAGGGCTCGCTGTAATGCTGCACCATGTACCAATGTGGTTGTTCTTCCTGTCTTCCACCTTGTGAACGTCAGTCTTTCTGTGCAGGTCAAGCCTGTCTTCATCGTCTTGTCACACTTGGCCTCAATATCTGAAAGGCAGCAGCACACACAGCATCTAGGCAGAGGAAGAACAAATGCTCTGTGGCTATAAAAATAGGTGAAAAATCCAAGAGCTCCCATCATGGAGAACAAAGGCTGTGCAAACAAACAAGCTCCAAAAACAGGATGGGCTTATGTGAAGCTTTTCCTATGATGACACATTCACCCTTTTTTCTTTTTCTTTTTTTGGAATGAGGATTGAACCAAGGGGTGCCTACCAGTAAGCTACATCCTCAGTCCTTTATATTTTTTTAGAGAGTTTTTGCTAGATTGCCAAGAGTCTTAGTAAGTTGCTGAGGCTGGCCTTGAATTTGTGATCCTCCTGCTTCAGCCTCCCAAGTCACTGGAATTACAGGTGTACACCACCACACCTGGCTATGGGTGACATACTCAGTACATGGGCCACTGCTGGTCTTCCTTTGCAAGTGACAGGCATGGCTGATCTATGCCTGCACTGGGACTCCCAAGACTTACTGTCAGCAGATCCAGTGGGTGTTAACCATCGCCTGTGTGGCCATCCATCCTCAGATGACAGGACTTGATTAGAAAACCACAGACTCCTAGAGCTAGGTGCAGTGGCACATGCCTATAATCCTAGTAGCTTGGGAGACTAAGGCAGGATGATCATGAGTTCTAAGCCAGCCTCAGCAAAAGTGAGGGGCTAAGCAACTCAGTGAGACCCTATCTCTAAATAAAATACAAAAGTAGTAGAAGACCCAGAATCAGACAGAAAGAATCCACTCTCTTGAAGCCAATCCTATTCCACACACCTGGGAAAAGTCCAGCTCAATAAACCCTGTGCTGCTGCTGCTGGTTCCCTTCCCTTCCAGACTCATTAAACATACACAGAATAACACGGTTCTGGGAATCCTCACATGTCCTAACTCACTTCCCTCAGTGAGGATGCCTCTGGGCCTGGGAGGCAGTGACGGATCTGGCACTCAGCACAGCTTGGCTTCCTTGTGCCCCCTTCCCACAAGTTGGAGGGCAGCAGCCACATCTGCACAGAGGGATGAGCTCTCTAGGAGCCACAGGTATCTATCTACTGCCTCTACTTGGCCTTGCAGATGAGCTCTCCTGGAGCCACAGGTAGCTATTCCCTCCCCTTGGCCCTGAGTATCTCCTAGCCAGGCAAAGGCCCCAGAATCTTGCTCAGTATCTCTGGAGGCTCCATCTTGATGTTAAAGTTCTCACTCGCTTTGACCCGTTTACAATGAAGAGCAGGATGATGAAGGATGCCACAGTGACAGGCCCAAACAAGGACGTGGGCACAATGGGCTTTGCTCTGACAATACAATGTGTGTGGGTGGCGCGTGGAGTTAGGTTCTGAAAGAGGGGTCTGCAGGGGCTGGGCAGGCTTTGAAACCAGAGCTCCTGCAGGGGAGTGTGCAGGGTTCCAGAAGGGGCCATGAACCACCAGGTGGCAGCAGGGGACAGGAGGAGAGGCGCCAGGCCACAGTGGGAGTGTCTGGACTCTCATCTGAAGAATGACTGCCCTGGGACAGCTCAGCTCCTGGCCCCGGGAGCTCAGCCCCTTCCCACAGTGGCAGGTGATGAGACTATCTGCCCTGGCTGACCAGGCCACAGAGAGAAGATATGTTACCGGACCTCAGCTCTTCTTCATTTCCTGCTCTGACCAGCTCCTACTGGTGGCTCCTTGTCACTTCTCAGGCCACCTTCCTTTCCCTGGACTCTATGGCCAGGTCCCCTCATTGCAGGAAGCCCCCCAATCCTGTGTCCTCACATGCCAGGACTTTCTCCTGCCTGCCACTCCATTTGAAGAGTAGGGAGGTCCCAGCCCCCTGCCCTTCCCCAAGTACGAAAGGGGACACACAGCACATTGAGTAGAGGGGTAAAGGGAATTACAACTCTCAAGAAAGGTCTGGGCCCCACCACCAGCATCCTCAGGACCACTTGGGTATCCGGCTCCACTGCCCCTCCTCACTGACCCACACACAGGGCCTCCCTCACCTAGGCTCACCCCCTCACTGCACTATTTGCCAACAGCCCTTCACCAATTACCCAGGCTGGTGCTGCTTAGCACCTGGTGGAGGATGAGGACATGCCTGGCCCAAGCTTACCTGCCAGGTCCTGATGGACAGGTCGGCCCACCCCTGGGCAAGGTGCCACCAGCTAAGGCATAAAAACCTGGAATCTACCAAGGCAGCTCCGGAGACTATTGCCATGAAGGGGAGCAGCACACTCCTGCTGGTGGTCCTCACCTTGTCCTTCATCTGCGGTGAGTGTGGCCACACTTCCAGCACATTTGGGGGGCGGGGTGCCTGGGAAGCTAAAATCCCAACATCAGGTCCATCACCATGGATAGTGCCTGCCTCCAGCACAGACCACCCACAGAAGTTTCCTGCTGAAACCAAGCCTCCATTCAGACCACCCCAGCTCATGTCACCATCCTGCCCAATATCACCCGCTGCAGCCCAATCCAACCTGACCCTGACGTGCTGAGCACTAGTTCAGACCAGCTGTACATCAGGCGACCCCTATGTCGGGTGTTGACTTTCCTTCCCGGGAGTGGAAATAGGAGAAGCTGAGATGGGGGGGTGCATCTGTGGCAGGTGGGGCTGGGGGCATCATGGAGGAAGATATACGGAAGGGCAGAAGACACAGAACTTTTAGGCTCTGTCCTGGCATCGTCTTCCTTCACAACACAGGACTGACGACAGGGGAGGACAACAATGAGTTTTTCATGGACTTCCTGCAAACCCTGCTGGTGGGAACCGCAGAGGAGCTCTATGAGGGGCCCCTGGGCAAGTACAATGTCAACGAGGATGCCAAAGAAGCACTGACAGAGCTCAAGTCCTGCATTGACAACCTACAGCCCATGCACAAGGCGGAGCTGGTCAAGCTACTGGTACTGGGGCCGGGGGTATCCCATTCTCTAAACATCTGCAGTTCCAAAACCCACCCAAGGCATGGCCTGTGATTGCCAGCCCAACACAGTACCCTGCAGGCCATTGCCAGCCCAACACAGTACCTGCCTCAGCTGAGGTGGACGTCCCATACTCCCCAGCCCAGAGAGAAACCCCTAGGTCCCTTAGACCTGCTCCCTCACAGCCTGTGGGATAAGCCCCACAATGGCTTGTGCACATATATGCTCAGACACACAGGTGCACACACACAATGCACACGCACAACCTGCATGCACACAACACCTCCCAGCTGCAGGGAGGGGTGGGCTGCAATGTGCCAGAGCCCTTCTCCCCCAAATATGGGTCTGTCTGCTGCGGAGAGCTCTGGCTCTGCAGTCACTAGTCACTGGCTTTCCGGTCCATACTCATCTGCCTTCCAGGTGCAAGTGCTGGGCAGCCAGGATGACGCCTAAGTGGACCTCAGACAGGGCTCCTGACAGCCACAGGACCAGCCACAAAAGTAGCCACATGCATGCTGCCTCACTGCTTCTTTACCATGAATAAATTTACCCTTGAACCACTAAATCAATAAAGCCTCCTGCAGCCCAAGCTCTGGTTCCTCGTCTCTCCCCCCACTCAGGGACATACGAAAGGGCACATCAAGAGTATACTCGGGCCAGGCACAGTGGCACATGCCTGTAATCCCTGAGATTTGGGAACCTGAGGTAGTATAATCACAAGTTCAAGGCCCTAAGCAACTTAGCAAGATCCTATCTCAAAACGAAAAATAAAAAGGGCTATAGATGTAGCTCAGTGGTATAGTGCCCCTGGGTTCAATTCCGAGTAACAAAATAAAAATGTACACTTGGGGACCTGGCCCACATAGACAAGAGCAGTCACCACAGGAGCACAGACATGAAAGGAACCCCATCCAGAGGGATGCACGAGAGCAAGTGCACAGGGCTGAGACTTGACCCAGGTAGACACCACCTAGGCAGGAAACAGAGCACAGAACACAGGCAGGCAGTCATGTGGACACAAGTGGCCTCCAGAAGGGAGATGCTCTGCAGTGGAAGGCCAGGACAGGAACAGAGAAAGCACTCAGGGCTACTCTGAGCTTGAGATGCTGGATGGCAGCCACATGCACACTAGTAGAATGCAACAAGGGCTACAGGCCAACAGGGTCTGAAGGTCAGCCTGCAGAACAGCAGTGTGCTAGCTCTTGCCCACCATGATCAACACAGATCCTAAGCTTAGATCCAGGACCCCCAACAGCCAGAACCTTCCAGCACCTTTTCCATAGCTCAGTAGATTCTAGTGGGGGCAATGCTGAGTGGGATCATCAAGCTGGCTCCTTGGCCACCCAGGCTGTGGACCACGTGATCTCACTTGCTCTGTTCCACCCCTATGCACCTGTCCCAGATATCAGAGGTCAGGCCTGGAGAGGGTGCGGTCCCTAGCAAGGGTGGAGCCTGGCAAAGGTAGGGTCTTATGAAGGTGCTGGGATCCCAGGGAGGGAAAGGTGGGGTCTGGCAAGGGTAGGACCATAGTGTTCCAGGTGAGGTTTGGGCCTGGTTGGGGAATCCAGGGTGAGGATGGGACCTTTTGAAGGTTGAGGGTCCCTGGCAAGGATGGGGTCCCTGGTAAGGATGGGGCCTGGGGAGGGTGGGGTTCCTGGGGAGGTAGGGGCCTAACAAGGGGCCCGGGTAAAGGCCATTGTCTCCATCACATACATTGTGATCTAGAACACCCCATCCCACAGAGCCACATTCCAGAGCTCAAGAGCTCGGACCCTTCCCCAATTCTTGAAGCCCTGTGGAAGAGAGGGAGGTCTTTCTCTCCATGCTCCTTTTTTGGGAACTGCCTGGCATTGAGGCCAGGGGGACAGGACTACCTGTGAGGAGGCTGGGTCACAGGTTGCTCTGAGCCTGCTCCTGCAAAGAGGTGAGGTCTCCCAAGCAGGCCCCTCCCTGTCCACTGCACAGCGTCAGCCAGAAAGCTGTCCACCAGTGTCCACAGCTCATTGTTGTGTCCCACCCAGGATCCTCTGAGTAGGAAGAACTTGCCCAGGCCCCCTTAGAGTCCATCATGGGAAAGAATAGATAGTTCCTCTGGGCTTGCACCAGAGTCCAAAACTCCTTACCTTGGAGGTGTGAGCTCACTACACTACAGCAAGCAGAAAGCTCCCACTGCCCATAATAGCTCAAAACCCTACAGAGGAGGCCTGTGGTTCTGTCCCATTAGTGACAGCAAGACCAGAAGTGGGGACATAGGAAGCTAGAATGAGATGGGCCAGGGCCTCCCCAGCACCTGGTCACCCTCTTATCCATGGACAGAGGCAGCTATGACAGAGGAGGTATGGGTAGGCACCTGGAGACCCCATCGCCCCAGGGGGCCCATCATGGCCCTCTACAGCAGCCCTGGACCCAAGTACCTGATTCCACCCACCACAGGTAAGAATCTGAGAGCTTTGTGGGGGGCAGGGGGAAGAGCCAGGAACAAGGCCTGGGATGGCCTGGGGTGGGCTTGGGTGACCTCAGTGGCCCAGGGCTTAGTCCCTGACTCCCAGTGGGGAGGAGGGGTTTGTGGCTCCAGGCTGTTCAGAGCCACTGTGCCCACAGGCTTCATGAAGCACACACCCACCAAGCAGCGAGCTCCGGCCTACAGCTTCCGTGGGGCCCCCATGCTCCTGGCAGAGAACTGTTCCCCAGGGCCCCGCTACAGTGTGAACCCTAAGATACTGAGGACTGGCAAGGACCTTGGCCCTGCCTACTCCATCCTGGGGCGCTACCACACCAAAACAATGCTAACACCTGGCCCAGGTGAGTGACCCCACCTTGGACTCCTAACCTGAGCCCTTACCTTCCCTGCTGGGTGGCCAATGTTGGTAGCTAGTGTTGAGGCCAGGGTATGCACTAACTCAGTGGGCCTCACTTTCCTGTGCCCTTTCTGCAGTGGGCCAGGCACCATCTGGTGTGAAGAAACAAAAACCTCCAGTTTTGCCCTCATTTGGAGTCTTGGGGCCAGGTCCACATCAGACCTTACTCCCCAGCTCAAAAACAACCCCAAAGTCAGTATTTTCATCCTGGACACTCCTGACCAACCTCATTCCAGGCCCAAAGACCTCATGCCTGGAATGTTGGGGCACACTCCTTGAGTGCCACAGCTGGGGGGTATCCACATCCTTTTTGTTCGTGTACCTCCTTCCACTGCCCCCCAGGTGACTACTTTCCAGAGAAATCTACCAAGCATGTGTTCGACTCAGCACCCAGCCACTCCATCTCTGCCCGAACCAAGACCTTCCGAGTGGACAGCACCCCAGGTCTGCAGCAGCCCCCACAATAACCTGTCTGACTGGAGTTGGGTCCCAGAGGGGGCAAACGAACAGCCCAAGAGCTGCTCTCTTAGGGTGGAGAAGGCCCGGAGAGGAGCTAGTAGGCCACATTCTGGTCTGAGGCTTCTCCTCATCCATCCCACAGGCCCTGCTGCATACATGCTGCCTGTGGTGATGGGGCCACGCACGGTGGGCAAGGTCTCCCAGCCCTCCTATTCCATCAAGGGCCGGAGCAAGCTGGGCAGCTTCAGCGACGATCTGCACAAGGCAAGGGTCACACCAGCAGAGGGCAGAACACAGACCCTGTGAACTGCCTGGTCCTTCCTCTCAACACCCAGGGCCCACCAGTGGAGCTCTGCTGAGGCCCCATGCCCCCTTTGCCCTCTATGGCTTGTCACATGCTGGGGCTACACTTAGTAGTGAGGAGGGACCAGGGCTCCTGGCATGGGAGGTGGTGGCACCATTGAACACATCCCATCTGGGATGTTGCCCAGAGGAGGGAAGGAGGAAAACAAGCATGAGCTATCTGGGGGAAGAGGTTCCAGCTGTGGAAGTAGCTGGCAGGGTGGGCCTGTGAAGCAGCATCAGCACACACCAGGCCAAGGCCACTGCTCTCAAGCTCAAGAGGACAGCATCCCACCTGAGAAGGTGCCTCATACACACGAAAGTGGTGTGTCCAAGGTTGGCACACAGTGGGAGATTACCATAGTGAAGCTAAAACTGAGGGGGTGACATCATACAGTGGTGTTCCATGAGCAGTAGGGTGTTGTTCCAATAGTGATAGACAGCTAGGAGCTGTCCCTGGTGACTCAGGGCCTGACACCTGTCCCTGCCCTCTGGGGCCATGTGCCTAGGGCCAGCCAAACCTGTCTAATCCCTCTTCTTCTCCCCAGACCCCAGGTCCTGCGGCATACCGCCAGACTGACGTGCAGGTGACCAAGTTCAAGGCTCCACAGTACACCATGGCTGCCCGGGTGGAACCCCCAGGGGACAAGACCCTCAAGCCAGGACCTGGAGCCCACAGCCCTGAGAAGGTCCTGGACAAGCAGACTAGAGGGGGTTGGGTGAGGGTCAGGGGACCCAGTCCAGAGTGGCGGCGGGGTGGGGGGGATAGGGAAGGGCCTGTACCTTGCAGGGGCTGCTGAGGCCATGTACCCTCAGGACCCTGTAAATTTCCAGTATTCACCCAAAGGCAAACCTCCAGGTACAAAGACCCCATGCCCTAGCCCTTTCCTCTAGCTGGCTGGCTCTGCGTCCCAATGCTGTGCCAGTCAATGCTGAGCACTGTGTTTATAGACAACGTGGCCTTGAGCCTGGCCATCTTGGCCCCAGGTTCAGGAAGAACAGCAGCCCAGCCCCAGTCAGGGTTTAGGATCCTCCTCACAGCCTTTCTTCTCTTAGGTGATCCTGACCAAGCCTTGTGCCCCGATTGTCACCTTCGGCATCAAACACTCTGACTACATGACACCCCTGGTTGTTGACGTGGAATAGCCCCAGCCACCCCTGTCAGCCTGTACATATCACATCCCACAAGAGATCTGCAGGGCTGACAGTGAACTGAAAGCTCCATCAGTTGGGCCATGGCTGGCCTGGACCTGTGGGGCAGAGCATGCTTGTTTGGACAGTTGCGAAAGTGATATTTTTCTATGCTAACTTCCCATTTGCTAATCTTGTTTCCTGCTGTGCCTGAATTATTTAATAAATCACGGATTCCACTTGTAAGGTTCTACCTTGGAGGAAGGATCAAGCTCATCCAGAAAGGGGCAACTAGGGGCTATCATTGCTGGCCCACACAGGGCCCATCTGGCTTCCTGACCAATAGTCTTCCCAGGGAAATAGGAAGGCCAGGAGCCTTAAACCTTGCCCAACACCTGTGCTACCCTCCCATGAGCTTTCTCCCTCAGTACAGCCCTCCCTCTGAGAAATGGGGTCTGAGCCCCTACCTTTGAATCTGGACTACCCTGAATTATACTAAGGCACAGCAGAAGTGGTATTGCCTGACTCCCCCTCATGGGTCTTGAGAGGAAGATTAATGTATACAATGCCACATGCAGCATCTAGGGCAAGCAGCCCAACCAGGTCCTCCGTTCACACCAGCACTAACTTCCCAGCTTGTGAGAGAGCATTCAGGGGATACAGCCCCAGCCCCATATCTACCAGCTGAGGCCTTATCATGGCAGAATGGAGAAAGCCATGCCGTGATGCCACAAATTCTGACCACAGTGGCAGTGAGAAATGTAGACTATTATTGCAATTTTAAGAGGCTAAGTCTCAGGGCATCTATTAGGCATTAACAGCTAACATGAGGAGAATGTGAACAGATCACTGGCATCTCAGCTGAGTTCCAGGAGAGGGATCTGCAGAGGCTTCCAGCAGCCTGAGGCCAGGCCTCAGGAAGCAAGGTCTGGAATTCCCTTGGGCTTTGGGGAAGGTCAGTGCTGGGCAAGTGGCCCTACCCAATGCACCTGTGATACCACCACCTGTACAACATGAAGCACAATACAGTTGCTGACCCTCACTCAGCTGAGTCCATGCCAGGCTGCATATTACAAGCATTTCATGCTCATCCCCTTATCCCTTAAAAGGTAACACATCTTCCCTATTGGAAAGGCAGAACCTTGGACAGAGAAGGGACACAGTGCAGGAAGTGGTAGGTCTATGTCTATACTGCCGCAGGTGGTCCTGCAGGAGCAAATTAGGAGGACAAGGGGTTCCCAGAAGTCAGGGAAGGGAGAGCCTGTGAACCAGGGTAAGAAGACTCTCTTGGATCCGCAGGAAATAACAACAACAAAGAATATGTGCTTCCTTCTTCACAAAGCTATTTATTCCACATTTTTATTGTTGAGATGTGCTTGAATTGTGGCATAGCCTGGCAGCTTGTTCTCACACTGGGCCCCCATACTGGGCTCTCACCCCTCACATTGGACCCCCAAGACTGTTTCTGGAATACTGGTATTGGAGACCAAGTCAGCAAAACCCACTTACCCATAGGGTCAGGTGCCAGGTACACAGGGCTGAGCTGGAGGACCATGGTTAGAGCCCTTCAGGAAACTGGCCTGACCCAGTGGCAGTAGGGCTGCCATCCCATTTCATAAAATTCATAGAATGCAAGGAGAAGAACAAGGAGCAAACAAGTAAACTAGAAAGGAACTACAAAACAGACCTGAAAACTACTGGAAGAACTGTAAGAGCTGTGGAGATAGGGTGCTGAGGACAGAGATGAAGACCTGAGGAAGAAACCCAACTGGGGGGTCTCGGAGACAGCAAAAGCACTTTTCCAGGGGAAGGTCATCATGAAATACAGGTCTAAATCCTTAGTATCACAGGCAAGATAAGTGGGCTCTGACCATGGCAAGTGTGTCCTGGCATCTGGTGGTTCCCATAGTTCAGCCATGTCCTCAGCAGTGCATGACCCAGGATGACGGGGATGTAGAATTGGAATATGGATGTGCCCTCTACAGTGCCTGTAGTGACCAGGTGGCGACACAACACAGGTAACTGCTACCATGTTTGGTGATGAACCAAGGGCTAAACCAAAGTTGTGGAGGGTGACAAGGGTGACAGGACCTATGAAGAGATGCCAAGAAGGAAGCAAAAGCCAGAATAGCCCAGCTGGGAGAGTGTCAGGGAATTAACAAAGACACAGAGAAAGGAGGCAGTGAGAACTGACTTCATGCTGGAAGAGAAAAAACAAAAGGCAGCAGATCCTCCCCCTCTAGAGGCTTAGGGGCTCAGCAGGTGCAATGGAAGGACCAGGAGTCGAAAAAAGGGGATTGTGGTGAGGGTGTGTAGACAAAAGAGGACCTGCTAAATAGAGGAGGAGGAAGTGATAGGTACCTGGGACTGTGGCCAGGACACTGAGAGGACAGGCTATGGCTGTTCTGTGTCAACATGGAGCTCAGAGATGGTTGGATAGACAGGCCTCGCGATGTGGCACACTAGTGGGGGACAGTGAGCCAACAGTCCTGGGGAGGAGAGGGAATGACTGGGAGACAAACTAGAATGAAGATAAAAAAGGACACTAAGCTGCAGGGTTAATTCCTTAAAGATACTTTTCATGTGAAGACAAAGGTGCGGACCCTCAGTAGCTGCTGGCTTGGCCAGCCCCATAGTTCAGTTTGTATTGCCCTAGAGCTGGCCAAGTGAGTGGTGAGGGTCAAGGAAAGACAGGTGGAAAGGGCAGTCTACAGAGTCAGGGACAAAAATGATAGCTCAGAGCAGCCTCACAGCAAGTTATGGGAGGGAGGGCGACTAGCTGTGGGAGGCAAGGTAGGGCAGAGCAAGTGAAGGTGTAAAGTTCTCACTACAAATAGCACAAGGTGTCTCAACAGGTGATCTCCACCCCTATAAGGAGGGTGCTTACAGGGAAGACCTCCCCAAGGAACTGCCTGACTCTGTAAAGCCACACTGGCCTGTTTCTTGATTATTTTCCAGGGGATACATCTTAGGCACTAGGGAGCTCCTAAATCCTGAAGACGTCATTTATGCTCCTAGACATACAACTATGTGACCCAGAAGGCTCCCAGCCCAGTGCTTCCAGGTAAGGTTATGATGCACTCCTGCATCCACAGCCCCTGATCTTCGTGGGGAACTGATCCCATCCAGGAACTTGAGAGCAAAGTCCTTAGAACAGGGCTCTTGGCCCACACTGGTCCACCCAAATAAGTACTATATCCAGGCTTAGGACCCTTCATTGGAGGAGTCAGCTCAAATGGGGTTCTCAGCCATACCTGCTCCCTGTGTCAGCCTCGGGCTTTTCAGATCACAGACACAGCCTCATCCAGGCATAGACAACACAGGGCAAAAAAGCCTTAAGATATCAGACCCCTGAGGACTGGGAGGCTCAGAAAAGAGCAGCTGGCCATGAATAGACCCATTTAGGACTCAGAGCTGCTCTGCTCAGAATGGGTGTCTCTGGCATCCAGGAGTAGGGATGGGGGCCGGGCCTTGGTTTCCCCTAGGCAAGGAAAGGGAACCAGGCAAAACGAGTTCATCAGGTCAGAGGCAGTCACAGTTCCCACCACAAAGGAAGAAGATTCCTGATCGTGATGATAATTTCAAAGGAATATTTTGTAGATTTAAGTCCTGAAGAGCCCAGGATACCAGGTTGAAGAAAACCCTGGCTGCCCTTGGCTCCCACTGGTTCACGTCCTTGCCCTTGACAAGAGGTAGGAGAGGATGAAGAAGGCCACGATCAGACCCAGAGCCATACCACACAGAAGCTTCCGGTTGTCTCGCCCAGACCGTGCCATCGTGGAAAAGCGCTTCATGCTTCCAGTGAGCAGACCAGTCATGCTTGTGAAATCCGAGTCCTGGGGAAGGGGATCCAGCAGGATCACATAGAGGCGGTACCTTGACCACCCACCCACACCAGCACTGGAGAACAGAGATTGTGTAGAACACGACGTGGAAACAGAGCTGGCTGTGACTCGTGCATACTGTAGACCCTTACCATGCCGTCCAGGTACCGGTTCTGGTCTTCTGCATCCCTATCGATGTCTAGGGCCAGCTGGTCAAAGAACACAAAGGGAAGGATCAGGCCAAGGCAGACACAGAATGTAGCACTCACCCTCCCTTAAAACCAGCCAGAACTCTGCCCACACTCTGCTAGATAAGGTACCACCAACAAAGATTGGAAAAGTCCAGGTTTCACCTTGAGCCTCACTCAGGTAAGCCAAGCCAGGGACAGATGGAACAAAGAGTGTGGATGACTGCCCCAAATCCCTCTGGGCTCATCTATCCACCCTCTGAGGCCTACTCTTCCACCAGGTGGAGGGGAAAAAGGGCCACCACTGACCGATTTGAGTCTGGTAACCTTGGAGGCCAGGCTGTCGGCCATCCGCTTGTTCTCCCGGTCTAGAATCTCCTCCACAGCACCAGAGTTCTGAGCTGAAAGAAGAGAAAGGCTGAGGATCTGTATCCACTCATGAGTGTAGTCTCTGATCCCTCTACTATAATTGATGCTGGCCTAATCAGACACTTGGGGGACTAAGACAACTTAATCTGATGAGAAAGTCCAACCCTAACCCAAGTTCCAGTAGTTGAACCGTGTATGTGTGAGACTGGCTGTTAAGCACATGTCACAAAAGCACACATCCTGCATGCACACCCAGGTGAGGGTGGGCAGGCACCCCAACACACTTGGTCCAACGGTCCTTTGCTGATATTGAGTAGGAACCTGAGTTAATCCCAGAAAGGCTAGGAAGTTGCAACACTTGCCTCCATGGATATCGCCATCTTTGAATGTCAGACCGGTTCTCAAAGAAAAATCTGGTAGAAGCACAGAAAAGAAAGAAAGAGCTCCCAGAAAGGTGACAGGAAGACCCTGCAGGGATGAGCTCCAAACTACACTCAGAGGAAATGACAAGTAACCAGACCAGAATATCAGGAAGGACCTTTACCCCTGAGAAAATGAATGAAGCCCCTAGCCCCAAAATTGAGCAGATGTGAGCCCACCTTGCGTCCCACACAGGGCCTCCTGCAAACCCAAAGCACAGTGGGTGCAGGAACCTGACTGTGAAGGGTAGGACCAGATGATGCAAAAGGGTGAGAACCGCCTTCCCCCAAACAGAGTACAATTCTCGCTGGTCCAATGGACAAGAAGAACGGACATGAATCGCAGCCCCAGGAATCACTGGGGTGTACAGACTCCAAATAAAGGGGTGTCAAGGCCCGGCCAAGCACTTCATGTTTATTACTCCCTTTAGTTGACACAACAGCCCAGGCATCACCATCTCCTTTGGGAGACAAGAATAAGAGCTCTGAGAGGGGACCACAGGAGGTGCCCTAGGCCCCTAGTCCACGGAAGCTTGCCTGGCCCTTTCCCGCCACAGCTTCTACCCCTAAGGACTGGCCTAGCCAAGACCCCTCCAGACTCCAGCTCACCCACATGACACCAAGCACCTCCGGCTTCCGTCCCCAAGCCGCCTGAAAGGCCCAGCCTCCAAGTCCCCGCGCAGAGTCCTTCCACCGAGGGAGGCAGACAGAGACTCGGCCCCCGGCCCGCTCTAGTGCGCTCACCTCGAGTCCAGTCCGCCATGGCGCCCCGCTCCAGTCTCGAAGCTAGTCCCCAAGACGACCACCCGTGCCAAGGACGTGGCTCCGACACCTAAAGAGGCTTCCGGCTCCGCCCCTCGTAGGCCACGCCCCTTTGACTCAAGCTCTTCCGGTTTATGGGTGGTATCGCGTGGGAACGGAAATGACGAAGGGGGGCGTCCGCTCTCACGACGGCCTGTGGGTTGATGCTGTTAGTGCTCGGAAGAGGTCTGTCAGGGGGTCCTTCCGGCCAGAAGCTCACAGGTAGGAACTGGACGGAGGGGCGGCCCGGGCCCGCGTTCTAGCAGGTGGGTTAGAGAGGGACTCGGGCGCGAGCGTGGCGCCACCGAGCACGGTACCGTCTCTGTAACGGGGAGCTGGGTGCCGAAGACACGGCGTAATACGCAGCGGTGAGAACTGCAGAAAGAAATGAAGGAAGGACCGATGCGGGGCCCTAGGAGCCTTTGAAGCAGCGCTCGCGAGAGCCGGGCACAAAGCAGGTGCTCGGTGACCTGTCGCCTAGAGTGGGCTGTGTGTCATTTAATGCTCGGAACAGCCCCTAACCCGGGCATTTCACCAGCGGGTCTGGGTGCCGCCTTGGCCGCCCTCCCGCCCCCACCTGCTCCCGGCCATCGCACGGTGCGCCTGCCGCTCCTTCTGCTTGGCTGGGCCTTCCTCCAGGCCTTTCCTGGCCGCCCTGGCTCCTCAAGAACGGCGCTTCCTCGGGCCCTCTGCAGCCCACCGGACACCCTTTTAGAAACCGTCCGAGTCCTCTGAGCGCCTCACGCCGGCTGGTTCGTTTCCCCCGGTCTCCCCTCGGGAGCGCGAGCTCCACGGCGGCAGGGACCCACGGGCTTCCCCAGCGTCGCTCCCGCGGGAGGCGCACTGCAGACTCCAGTCTGAGCGGGGAGCGGCCCAGGACGCCTCGCCCCACCGCCTGCTGTGCGGGGTCTGAGGGCCTCTCCGTCTGGACACTCGCACCCAGACGCCGGGGCACAGAGCAGGGGTCGCTGTTCGGTTCCGGGGCGGCGCGGACCTAGGTCGGCTGGTCACCGGGCCGGGTGCGTTGCAGGCCAAACCTTGCGGTCTCCGGTGCCTCCGGCCGCACCGGCGGGGCCCAGCCACCTGGAGCCGCGCAGCCTGAGGCCCCGCCCCACGCAGCCGGTCCCGGCGTCCGTCGCGCGCGGACTGAGCTTCCGGGCTAGGGTGGGGCCGGCGGGTCCGGCTGCTGGCCTCTGCCTGGCCCGCGCTGTGCGGGGCAGGTTCTGGGGACCATGGAGCCCCGGGCGGTTGCGGATGCCCTAGAGACGGGAAAGGAAGACGTGATTACGGAAGCTCTACGAACGTACAACCGGGAGGTGAGCGGCCGCGTTCCGGGAAGGGATCCCGTGGCCTTGGCGCGGTGGGCAGGGAGTGCTAGGTGCGGAAGGGAACCCTGGGCCGTGCAGCGGAGGAGTGGGAGCCCGGTCTGGGGTGCTGTGGCCGAGGGGCGTGGGGGTGGACGCCGAGTGTAGACCCTGCCATCTGTTCAGAGTGGTGTTTGCTGCCTCAGAATTAGAGGCAGGGAGGCCAACCCTAGAAACACAGGCCCTACCTGCGTGTGGATCTGACTTCACTGGGTCTCTCTGCAGCACTCCCAGAGCTTCACCTTTGACGAGGCCCAACAGGAGGACAGGAAGGTGGGTGCCGGCCCAAGGGGAAACGGTGCAGGGATGGGCTGCCCAGGAAGAGGGCCTAGTGGAGTCGCTCTTCTTCCTGCCCACAGAGACTTGCAGAGTTGTTGGTCACAGTCCTGGAGCAGGGGTTGCCACCCTCACACCGTGTCACCTGGCTACAGACTGTCCGTATCCTGTCCCGGGACCGCAGCTGCCTGGACCCATTCACCAGTCGCCAGAGCTTACATGCACTAGCTTGCTATGCTGGCATCTCTGCGTCTGAGGGGTCTGTCCCAGAATCCCCAGATATGGATGTCATACTAGAGTCCCTGAAGTGCCTCTGCAACCTCGTGCTCAGCAGTCCAGTGGCACAGACACTGGCAGCAGAGGCCCATCTGGTGGTGCGGCTAGCAGAGCGTGTGGGGACGTACAGCAAGAAGAGCTTCCCACATGATGTCCAGTTCTTTGATTTAAGGCTCCTCTTCCTACTAACAGCACTCCGCACTGATGTGCGCCAGCAGCTGTTTCAGGAGCTGCATGGTGTGCACCTGCTGACCCACACACTGGAACTGACACTGGGGATGACCCCAGAAGAGAGCCCCCCTGATCTCCTTCCTCCCCAAGAGACTGAGCGGGCTATGGAGATCCTCAAGGTGCTATTTAATATCACCTTTGATTCCATCAAGAGAGAAGTGGACGAGGTGAGTGGTGGCCTGAACCCATGGGTGGTTGCTAACTCAGCTGGGACATTTTGTGGACCTGCCTTCCACAGTACCTTCAAGTTCCTGGGTGTCAGGCATGGTGTGGACCAGGTGGGCAGCTGAGAAGGTACAATGGTTAGTGCCGTAGTCCTGGAGTGCAGCAGTTGGTTCAAGTGGGGCTTTCTCTCACAGAAGCCACTTTCTGTCTTTGTCAGGAAGACACTGCCCTTTACCAGTACCTGGGAACCCTTCTGCGGCACTGTGTGATGGTTGCTGCTGCTGGAGACCGCACGGAGGAGTTCCACGGGTGAGGACAGGGCCAATCCTGGTAGGAGGGACATGCTCTGATGTCTGGATTGCGATCCCCCACCATGGCACTGGACCAGAACCACCTGGGAGCCCAGACCCTACCTTAGAGTCTATATGGGCAGGACGGTATCCTTGTGTTTACATGGATCCTCAGGTGCTTCTGTTGTGTGAGTAGGATAAGAGCCATGAATTTAGGGCCAGGGTGTTGGGCAGTGGCCAAGGTTGGCATGGTATTAGGGCAGTATAGTCCCTTGCTCCTGTTCTTGGTGAACTGTGCCTGGATTGGCCTGTGTTTCCAGAGATCAGTCAGTACCTCAGCACACAAATGTTGGGGCAGATTGCCACTCTGGGGACCACCATACACTTGGGCATATTCCTGAGATCAGTCCCTACCCTTGGCTGTGATCCCTAGAACTGTTCTTCAGGTTACCGGACTATGGCTCACATCTGTGGCCCCTCCAGGGATTGTACCTGCACTGAGGATTAGCCCTGTCAAGGCCTCTCTCCATCTGTCCCCAGCCACACAGTGAATCTCCTGGGGAACTTGCCTCTCAAGTGTTTGGACGTCCTCCTCGCCCTAGAGCTGCATGAAGGCTCCTTGGAGTTCATGGGAGTGAACATGGATGTGATTGGTGTCCTCCTCGCCTTCCTAGAGAAGCGTTTGCACCAGGTAGGCAGGGTACCTGCTGGGCAGTCCTCTGCAGTGGCTCTGACCTTGGCTGTTTGCACAGCTGTGGTCATTGTTTCTACAAGTGGACAACCTTATTCATTCAAGGTTTCATTTCTGCCCACTGCTACAAGGAGTCGAGTTTTTTTTGTTGTTGTTGTTCTAGCAAGATGCTAGCAATCCCTTTGTGGTTCCCTCTTTAGTAATCTTGAGAAGCCCCTGCTTGTGACCCTCAGCCTCCTCATATCCCTGTGCATGGGCAGCCCCCTTGGTCATAAGCATAGCTGTCCCTTTTAAGGAGATTCAGCAGGGATTTCCTGGTGAGCCCACAGGACCTCCAGACAGCTGGAACTCTAGTCCTACCAGAGCTTACAGACATTAAGCCAACAAAAGAGCCACAGACCAAGATTGCCAGATCTCTGGGAGCCATGTTGCTGGGGTGGAGTATGCTTGCATGCATGTGAACTGAGTGAGGAGGGTGGCAGCCTGTCCTTATTGCTGCAGCTGCTGGTGTCATGCTCTGGGAGATAACAAGGGAGGCCGGCAGTGATAGGAGCTCCCTGCTCGCTGTCCAGGAAACACAAAGAGTAAAGGTTCTGTTGTTTCTTTTTGCTGTCATTTTCTGAGAGCAGGATGCCAGTGGTGTGTAGACAAATTGGAGCACGTTGTGTTCCGCTTACAACCCTGGTTTATAGATGGTAAAGTTAGACTTAAAGCATTGAGTCGTTTGCTCCAACTCATAAAGCTTTCAACTAACTTCCTGAGTTTGGGCCTATTCCCATCCCTTTCAAAACTGACAGACACCTACCACCAGCTCCTGGCCTTTGGGGACTCCCAAGCCTCTGCTTCCAGGACTAGCCAGGGCATGTGTAGCTGCTACCCTTCACCCCAAGTCAGATGGAGTACTGCCCAGTGACGGGTCCCTCTGCAGACCCACAGGCTAAAGGAGAGTGTGGCTCCTGTGCTGAGTGTGCTGACAGAGTGTGCCCGCATGCACCGTCCAGTCAGGAAATTCCTGAAGGCCCAGGTACTTGGCAGAGGAGCCAGAGCTTGGGGTGGGGGGTGGGGGGGCTGGGGGACGTGACCCTGCTCACAGACTTCAAGTTGCTCCAAGCCTAGGCTGAGTGCCAGCCGCTTCCCCAGGTGCTGCCACCTCTGCGGGACGTGAGGACCCGGCCTGAGGTTGGGGAGCTACTGCGAAACAAGCTTGTCCGCCTCATGACACACCTGGACACGGATGTGAAGAGGGTAGCTGCTGAATTCCTCTTTGTGCTGTGTTCTGAGAGTGGTGAGTGTGGGAAGCCCGAGCCCCAGGCCTGCCCTACCCCAGCCATGTTCACCCACTGACCTGTATCCTGGCCCCCAGTGCCCCGATTCATCAAGTATACAGGCTACGGGAACGCCGCAGGCCTCTTGGCTGCCAGGGGCCTCATGGCAGGGGGGCGGCCTGAGGGCCAGTATTCAGAGGACGAGGATACGGACACTGACGAGTACAAGGAAGCCAAGGCCAGGTGTGTACCCCAACACACTTGGGATTCCCTTCACCCCCACCTCCATTCCTGCTCCCCACCCATCTAGACTCCTGTGGTTGGTGGGACAGGATGAGGAATGGAAAGACCCTCCAGAATCTGATACCTGTTCCCCAGGGATGTTGTCCTGAGTATGCAGGGAGGGCTTGGGCACCGGGAGTGGGCAAGGCAGGAGCTTCTCCCCCTGGAGGGAGTTTTCTCCTGTGGTTGCATGCTCCCCTCCCTCCACCAGGTAAACCTGTGTCTTGCCACTCTAGGCCTGAGCAGGAAGGTGGGCGTCCACCTACCCATGTAGTCCCTCTTGTCCTGGAGAGTTACTAACACATTGTCCATTCCCCCTCTGGGATGCAGCATCAACCCTGTGACAGGGAGAGTGGAGGAGAAGCCACCCAATCCTATGGAGGGCATGACAGAGGAGCAGAAGGAGCATGAAGCCATGAAGCTGGTGAACATGTTCGACAAGCTCTCCAGGTGTGTTGGGAGGAGGGGTCTACACTTGGGAGGAAGAAGAATGGACCCACATCCTAATGTGAGACCAGAGGAGGGCTTAGGGTCCTGAAAGGCTGCGTGACTGATGTTGGAAATCCTTGAGCAAAGTTGAGGTTAGATTGATATTTTGCCTGTGTACAGGTGATGAAAATGAGGCCAGGAAAGTAAGGGACTGCTCAGTGGTCTTGAAGCCAGGGCAGCAGTTGAGATTTGAGCCCAGTTAACACAGGGTTCTACCCAGGTGGCCCCGGCCTTCCAGCACACCAGGCCTCTTCCCCAGCCCTGCTCACCTTTCCCCAACAGGCACAGAGTCATACAACCCATGGGGATGAGTCCCCGGGGACACCTCACATCTCTGCAAGATGCCATGTGTGAGACCATGGAGGGACAGCTCTCCTCGGACCCTGACTCAGACCCTGACTGAGGACAACAGCTCTTCTCCCCTCCAGAACTGGTGCTGCTTCCAGAGGCATCCTTAGGGCCTCAGCCTGGGGAAGCCACACCCACCTCTCCAGCGTGGAGACACTTTTCTACCCAAGCTCTGTTAGTGCTTTGCCTGTGGTCTGATTTCTTATCTTTAGGATCTCAGTGGTCTTGTCCTGCTGTAAACCTGGGAACTCAGTCTTGACTTCCACAGATGAAACCATGTCTTTGATAAGTGCTGAGGATGCAGGAGTGGTGGCTGAGGGGATAGGGCCTGTCTTGACACACAGGCCAGCATGCCTTGGGAGGTGGGGCTCAGCAGGGGAGCACACAAGGCAGCTGTCTGGGCTTGGCATTCTGAAGGAGCTAGTGTGTGGGGCATGTGCTGCCTTTCACAAGGGAAACGGTCTGCTAGAACATGTAAATGTGTCAGGAACACTGAGCACCCAGGTAAGCGCTGTAAGCTCTGCTGTCTGTCCTCACTATGGCCTCTTCTTTCTCCTTGGCCCTGGCTCAGTCACCCGATACAGTATCCACACATCTGAGCTCTCACTGGTTATGACAACTGACTCAATGCTATCCACTGACTTAGATGATAAATACTTATGTGAAGGCAGATGCCCCTCATAAGGCTGTAAGTTGAAATCTCAAGATTTCTAAGAGCCACAAAAACATCACAGAATAAAGAAGTATTTTGGGTGAGACTGTGTGAGAGAAAGAGAATATGTGTAAAATATCAAAGGACCATCAAAGAAACCACCTTTGTCCTTTTCAGAAGTAAATACTAGATCACCTTGCATATTTTGACATCACTAAGGAATAAGGTCATGGGACCCCCCCTTACATGTTTAGTTAAGTCTGACCCTGTCAGCTCCAGCCCAGAGCAGGTACAGCTCAGGGACAGGAAGTCCTGCCCTGGAAACACAGAGCCTCCAGAAGGGAGACAAGTGCTGGGTGGAAGAGGGGGCTGAGATCCCCTCAGGATGAATCCAGGAATAGGTGAGAACAGTTCTGTCCCCTGCCAAGAGGGAGACGCCCATACCCCAAGGTTTATTTTCCATGGTTATGTCAACACTTGCTGTTCCTTTGAGAGAAACAAAAAAGGAAGATGCCATTGTTTAAATACTAAAATTTATTTCATGCTCCAGACTTTCTCTAATTAAAAATAACCCTACTGCAAATACCAACATGCTAGAAGACCCGGTACATCACCAGGGCCCCGGGAGGGCTGCTAAGCTCTAGGCACTGTAAAAGCAAATCAGGTCTGAGATTCCAGTTGTCTGTCAGTTCAAGAAGGTCACCATCAGAAGAAAGCTTTTTGTATTAAGTGAAGAACTGGACACAGCAAACAGTTCTACCGGTGAAGAACTGGACACAGCAAACAGGCCATGCAGTTCCTTTCCATCTGTGACTGGGTGTTACTGAGTATAAACACCACCCTACCTGCAGTACAGTCTGAGGGCAGCCTCAGATGTCCACTGTGTCTGCAGGTCACGTATCCTGGTTTGGCCAAATTTTGTAAACCTACCAAGCTGTCTGCAAGCATATGGTCTCACTAGAAATGAGGTGTGAGTCTCTCCTGTTGCCATTGCTCATGCATGCGGCAACCATCACCCTCCTATCTGTCCCGTCCATCCAGCTAGAAGAGAAGAGAGGAGATCAATTAAGTGTGTATACCCTGGCAGGCCAGCACATCTCAAGCCTGGGTTGAACACTTTGCTGAAAGCAAGCAAAATATTTCATGAAATGCGCTTTTCTCTGCAAAAAAAACAAGGTCCCAGCAGGCTTGGCAGAACAAGGCAGATAAAAGGAGACCTGTTCTGAGGATTTTAAAGTTCCCAGTTGAGGTGTACTGATGCTTACATGCTCAAAAACATTACTATCTGATTCCTTGGGTAGCAATTAAAAAATAAATCCCAGAAATCATAACCTATTTTTCATAACTTTCCATGAAACCAAGAAATCACACAGATTAAGTCTTGTAGGGCCATTTCCAAAAATCAGTAAGGGCTATTAGTCTCCTTTTATATGGGAACGGGACTCAAACCAGGAAGAGGCTTCAGGACAAGCCTGTCAGGCTGACATGACCAGCTCTCCACTGCCCTGCAAGATGGCCAGGGGAGCACCTGCCTCAATGACATTTTTTGCTGAGTTCTCTGCTTCTTGAATGGAGTGGCCAACGTGATTATAACATTGGTGGTCTTTACTCCTATCTATAGTGAGGTGAGAAATGGCACCAGCCTACATCAGCCCTCAGAGCCAAACTGGAATGAAAGGCCATAAATAGTAGTGGTAATGATGTCTAATGTGTGTGGAAACAGCAAGTTCTAAGTCTCATCCTTAACAAGTCTCAGACTGCAACCAGAGGCTGGGGCTTTTGCCAATGGAGGCAAGAAGAGGGTGCTTGCCCTTGGGCAGTGTCAGACCTGTCTGTAACCTCAAACCTGGGCTTTAAATGCTACTGACTCCTCTAGAATTTACATGGTTTTCCTAGGAACCATCTAGAAAGCATCAACACTCTGGCTGTCTATCCTTGGTAGGCTATACGGATAACAACTCACATGGACCACTTCTTAAAAGCATCCCAGGTGGGGCTGAGGTTGTAGCTCAGAGGTAGAGCACCTGCCTAGCATGTGTGAGGCACTGGGTTCAATTCTCATCACTGTATATAAAAAAATAAAAATAATAATAAAATAAAGGTTCACTGACAACTAAAAAAAGTATTTTAAAAATCCCAGTTTGAGCACCATCCCACAGAAAGGGCAGAGAACTTCAGCTTCTCAAAGTCCTTATACATGGGTCTTCTTAGTCATCCCAAGCCTCAGAGGGGAATATGGCTGCTTTGTTTTAGGAAGGAAAAGCAACAGACTAGAATGACCAGAACTACCATCCCCCCTTAGCCACCATTAGCTCTGAGGCCTCAGGAGCATGTACTTGGCATCATTTGTTCCTGTCAATGGAGGTGGTGGACCCAGGTTAGTGCCCAGTATAAGACCAACAGTAGCATTGTGGTCTGTACCTTCCCAGTCTCCCGCTGGACAAGGTCCTGCATTTCTTCTGTCCAGCCCAGAAGTTCCACCAGCCTTTCTACACTGTGAATCACATCCCCCAGCTGAGCCACATCCCTTCTGCGAGGTCGCCAAGTAAAGGGTCCCACCAAGTCCCGGTTGATGAGCAGCCGGGGCACTGAGCTCCCCACAGCCTCAGACAAGCTGGCAAAAGGCTCCACCTGAAAAATAACCCAAACATGAGGAGCACAATATCCATCCCACAAGCCCATCAAGTCACCACACCATGGCCATGAGACCTAGAGGGACAGGAGAGATCACCATGCATCAAGCTCAAGCAGCCTCCTATGCTTGATCTGGATGATCCTGTCCTCCCAGGCCTCCCTCACCTCTTGCTATCCCCACCTTCTTCCTTCCTGCCAACTGTGCGGTGGGCATCTTCCTTCCACCTGTCCACCACTCTACTCGCCCTGCTGCAACACTGTCCTGCAAATCTCATCTGGCAGGAGAGGCCTGGAGCTGAGTTACGATCCCTCCTCAGTCTTCACCATCTGACTCTAGAGAGACGTAAACCATGCCATCCAGCTTCTGCATCTGGTTCTCAAATGGAATTCAATCTCAAGAGTAACAATATAAAAAATAGATAAATAAATAAATGCTAACAAGGGTGGTTTAGTATCTAGGAGGGAAATGCTTAATTCCTGCCTTTCATTGGGAAGGTTTCAAATGAATTAAAGATTTAAATGTAAACAAAAAGCAGTTCATGAAGAAAATTGAGGGTCTATAGGTAAGGATGGGAAAGGACTTCTTAGGAATGGTAACTGAAGTAAGATAAGACAAATGAAAATGACAGACTGTATAAATGCTATCACACTGGTATCTCCATAAAGCCACTATGTAGAAAAATATTAAACTCATCATCGTAAACAAACTGCAATATATACAACGTGATAACTTATACTTCTACTTGCTAATTTAAAAACATATAACCCAGTGAAAGATGGGCAAGAGATAGAGGAACTGCACTATTACAGAAGTGCAAGACCTCTTTTAACTGATCAGACTGGAAAAAAATTAAAGATAGGAAATTTTAGTATTGGTGAGGATATGTGCATATGGCCCCTTGCACCCTGTTAAGGCACTGTATTGGTACTTCCTGGAAACTGAGTCTTGAATATGCATCAACATTTACCCTTTAGAAGTATTTCTATGAGTGTAAAAATGTATACACTTGGATATTCACTATAGGCACTTTCACTATAAAATTATATATGGATATGTTTCAGAATTCAGAATATTTAAGATTCTGAAAAAAGATTATATGGTTTATGTACCATATACTGTGTCATAGCTCAAGAAGATCCAAAGCAGTGCTCCATAAGCCAACACATCAATATTTCTTCACAAAGCAGATAAGGAAAAGCCTGTGCCTTCCGCCGGAGGTTCCAGGTCACACTGGCACGCACTGGCAGGCTGGCTTCAGCTGGAACCTTGCCCTCCCAGGGCAGCTGCAGCACCTACCACACAGCTCCCCGTGCTCACACCAACATGGACATAGCCAGTCAAAGAGCAGGATGTACAGCACTGTACAGAAGAGCAGCACACGAGGACAGGCCAAAACACACACAGTTGGGATGGAAATATAGCTCAGTTGGTAGAGTGCTTGCCTTGCAAGCACAAGGCCCTGGGTTCAATCCCCGGCACCACAAAACAAACAAACACACACTAACAGTTGTTGATGGGATTAAAGATGACACTTGGCTTTTTATACCTTTATATAATGTATGGATAGTGCTTTTATAACCAGGGGGAAAAAAAAGAAAACACAACTATTTTCATTTTGCTTCAAATAGAAAGATGGCTAGTGGCCCCAGTGTCCACACCTGACAGCTGGCTCAGCCCATATGCCAACTACCATGGCTCCCACCGCCCCGTCTTTGGCACCTCCGAGTGGCTTTCCTATGTCCATCCTCCATCCCAGCTCAATTCTGTTTGCACCTCAGGCTCTCCTGTCCATTCACTGCAAACCCCAGCTCCTACCTCAGTCTCTGCTAGACTCCACCCCCATGCATACATCTCCTGAGGATCCTCAAGCCTGCCCACCAAAAAATACAAGCCATAACCCCGAAGCCCTGTGGGAGTCCAGGCTCTCCCACAACTCCCATTCTGGCCTGCCTTCTGCCTTCACATCCAGACTCCAAGGGCTCCTGATGGCTTTACCCAAGAGCCTCTGCTGGGTCTGTCCCCTGTGCCAATTCACAGCAAAGCAGCCACAGGAATCATCCTGTGCCACAACCCTGCCAGATCCCTCAGTTGACACCTTCACAAGCAACCAGGCCACTCCTCCCACCTTCCTGCCTCACCTGGTATTTTTCCCATTGCACATAACAAGCTACAGAATTTCCTCAATTTATGCTGTGACTGTCCACAGGGCTGGGACAGGGCCTGGTTGAGCAGGCAGCAACAGTGATGCCCACAGCATACACTGGGCCTCTGGCCACTGGGGAGCCCCTGGTGGTGTACCCAGTCGGGCACTAGCTTAGTTCGCAGTCTCATTCTTGCTCCACATCCTTTAGAAATTCCTTATCATTCAAACTGAGATGGAGGACAGTTTCTTGGCTGTGTCTAGCAGGCATCTCCCAGGCACCTCACCACAGGTATTCAGAACCCAATGCAGCATCCTCACTCCCAACTGCCCCAACCAACAAAACCCTGATGCAGGCTGAGCCAGGAGCCTCTCCACCTCAGGCCACAGTCCTCCCACCCTGCAGGTGCCCACCACTCTGCCGTCTTCAGGACTGGCATCATCCCTCACTGTACCCTGACCAGCCACACCCCACCTGCCCCTTCCATCCCTTGGAAACCCCACACCACATGCCCTCCCATTCTCCCCATCCTCTCACACAGCTTCTCCCCAGGCCTGTAACATCAGCTGGATCCCATCGCCTTTAGCACCCTGGGTTGACCCCTCTGCACCGACCCCCTCCCTATCCCCAGCCCATGCCCCCAAAGCCCCTTCACAAACCTCCAGGGAGGTGCCTAGGATGAGCAGCAGATCTGCCATGGGGAAATCAACCACATGTAGCAAGAACCTCTGGGGTAGTGGCTCCCCAAAGAACACAATATCAGGCTTCACAATGCCAGTGCAGACTGGGCAGCAGGGCACCCTGTCGGCCATCACGTCGGCCTGGGGACACAGAAAGAAGGCAGGACCAAGGAAGATGCCTTTTAGGAGGGAATAAACTCAAGAAATTTCAAACAAGCACAGAAATTGAGAATAGTGCAACAGACCCCAAGTCCCGGTTTTAGCAATTACCAACAGTTTTTATGTAATCCTCCAAAATGTTGGAGTGGTCAGAGTACTTAAAAACAAATCCTGAAAAAAAAATGTGGCATATATATACACAATGGAATATTACTCAGCGATAAAAGAAAATCATGGCACTTGCAGGTAAATGGATGGAGTTAGAAAAGATAATGCTAAGCGAAGTTAGCCAATCCCCCCCAAAAAATGCCAAATGCTTTCTTTTGATATAAGAAGGCTGATTCATAGTGGGGTAGGAAGAGGGAGCATGGGAGGAATAGACGAACTCTAGATAGGGCAGAGGGGTGGGAGGGGAAGGCAGGAGGCATAGGGTTAAAAATGATGGTGGAATGTTATGGACATTATTACCCAAAGTACATGTATGAAGACAAGAATTGGTGTGAATATACTTTGTATACAAAAATTGTGAAAAATTGTGCTCTATATGTGTAATAAGAATTGTAATGCATTCCGCTGTCACGTATAAATAATAAATAAATAAGTACATAAATAAATAAATAAATACAAATCCTGGACCTCACCTGGTTTCATCCACAAATCTCCTCACAGGCTGAATGTCTACTCCTGCTCTGCACCTGAGCTGGTGCCAAGAACACACCTGGTGGACCCCAGGCCTTGGACAGTGCTCTGTGGACATCTGCTTAACCCTGGTCAGAGCTGAAGTGACCAAGGCACACCTCAGCCCTGCAGGTGCCAGGCTTCCTGCACTGGCCCCCCAGGACACCTCCCAGAGGACCTGGGACCCCTTCCATGCCTTTCTCACCATATATCTATACACTGGGGTTCCATAAAGAAACATGCAGGGGTTGGGGAGGTTGGGATGCTGACAGCACTGTGGCTAGTCTGAAGTTCACAAAACCTACCAGAGCTTCCCTCCCTCTTACAGAAAGGCTTCATCTGGTCTCTGTTACCTGCAGTACGATGGTTCTCCAGTCTGTGGTTTCCACCCACACCTCCTTCCTGCGCCTCCTTGGACTCGGGCCCAGGACATCTTCCCAGACCCCTCCATCTCCACCTCCAAACAGCCCTGCCTCCTGTAGCTATCTCATTCTGTTCACTGTGTCTGCTCGACCCATGGCGTCCCTATCTCCTACCCAGATCACCCACCTCCCCATAGTAGGCTCCTGACCCAAGAAATTCAACCTGCTGCCCACATAAGCTAAGATGCGAACCTTTCACATCCCTTTCCTGCTTTAAAATTCTTCAGTATCTATCCAGTGCTAATGTACATGCTTTAATCCCAGCGACTCAAGAGGCTGAGATAGGAGGATCGCAAGGTCAAGGCCATCCTCAGCAACTTAGCATGACCATCTTAAAATAAAAATAAAAAAGGGCTGGTGGGTGTGGCTCACTGGTCAAGCACCTCTGGGTTCAATCCCTGGTAACCCCCCACACACAAAAAAAGAAAACACCCTGGCCTGCCACACTCCAGTTCTCCTGTGCCAGGAAGGGCTCTGGGATCCAGACTGACTCATCCCTAAGGGCCCCAGTCACTCTCTTCCCATAGCTGTGCAAGAGCTTCTTCCTACACCTGGCACTCCGTTTGTTTTTGCATCCACAGCACCCACCCAAATGTCTGGCACTTAGTAGACTAAACTGATGAAGAAACCAGTCATTCAATGGATGCGTTGATGAAAAGATTAAACATGCACCTACAGTTTCCACTATGTGCTAGGCTCCCATTTCCTGATTTTAAAACTTATCACTGGGCTGGGGCTGTGGTTCAGCGGTAGAGCGCTTGTCTCATAAGCATGAGGCACTGGGTTCAATCCTCAGCACCACATAAAAATAAATAAAATTAAGATATTATGTCCATCTACCACTAAAAAAATAAAAAATAAAAAAAAACTTACCACAAACTAACCAATACAGTGTGGTACTGGCCTAAGGATGTACAAATATACCAATGGAATAGAATTGAGAATTCAAAAATAATCCACACATTTATGGGCAACTAGTTTTCAACAAGAGTGAAAACCATTCAATGGGGAAAGACAGTCTCTTCAACAAATGGTGCTAAACAACCTCACACTCTCTATAAAAATTAACTCAAAATGGATCAAAGACCTAAATGTAAGAGCTAAAAACCAGAAAACAGGCAAAACTTCATGAACTTGGAACTAGCAATATTTGTTTTAGATACAACATCAAAAGCATGCACAAAAAAGAAAAATAGATAAACTAGAATTCACTAAAATTAAAAATATTTGAATAGCTGTGCATGGTGGCACATGCCTCTAATCCCAGCAGCTTGGGAGGCTGAGGCAGGAGGATGGCAAGTTCAAAACTAGCCTCAGCAATTTAGTGAGACCCTAAGCAACTCAGTGAGACCTTGTCTCAAAATAAAAAATAAAAAAGGCTGAGGATGTGGCTCAGTGGTTAAGCACCCTTGGGTTCAATCCCTGGTGCCAAGAAAAAAAGAACCAAAACATTAGTATATTGTAAATATTACCAAGAAAGGGAAAAAGACAACCAACCCATATACTTGCAAATCATGTATCTGATAAGGATCTAGTTTCTAGAACATAAAAAGAACTCTTACAACCCAAAATGAAACAACAAATTCCACAAAAGCACAGGTGCTGTGGAGAAGAGTATGACAGGTCCTCCAACAGTTACCCAGAGTTCACGTGGCACTCGGCAGTTGCACTCCTGGGTGAAAATCAGGAACCTGAGCGAGACAGCACGTGAAAGTGTTCACACAGCATGGGATTTATCTTCTACTTATTTACTGTTGCCAAGGTGAGATCCAGTAACAGACAGCTGCCTCTTCAAGTGCATGGATCACCTGCACTTCGTACTTTCGCTGAGCTGCTGTGCTCATATTCCCCACTCTACCCTATTCTCTAAGGAATCCTAAGAGGTCTAACACAGGTATCACTGTTGCTTCGGGCTCAATAGTGAATATTACGAACATGAAAAGATACCCTGTAATAGTTGAGTGGCTAAACCTAACACTCTACAGTTAATACGAAGACCAAAAAGAGCAGGCAGAACTGCAGACACTGACAAAAAACATGTGTGCTCATGTATGCACATCTCTCTAAAGCCCTAGAACAGTTAGGTACAGTGGTACACGCCTGTAATCCAGCAATTCAGGAGGCTGAGGCAGGAGGAAAGCAAGTTCAAAGCCAGCCCCAGCAATTTAGTGAGGTCCTAAGCAACTTAGTGAAACCCTATCTCAAAATTTAAAAATAAAATGAAGTCCTAGGACATTATATATTGTTATGATTTTCCCCCAAAAGCTCATGTGTGAGACAATGCAAGAATGCTCAGGGGTAAAATGATTAGATTACTATAAGAGGTGTGAGCTAATCTGCAGATTAAATCATTAATATGGATTAACTGGGTGGTAAACTAGGCAGGTAGGGTGTGGCTGGAAGAGGTAGATCACTTCAGTCATGCCTTGGGGGTTTATATATTGTCCTTTCTGCTTCCTGGTTGTCAAGTCCTGAGCTGTTTTCCTCCACCACGCTCTTCTACCATGATGATCTGCCTCACCTCGTCCCAGAGCCATGGAGTTGGCCAACCATGGACCCACTCTTTAAAATCATAAGCCAAAATAAACTTTTCCTTCTGTGTTGTTGCTGTCAAGTCCTTTGGTTACAATAACAAGAAAGTTAACTAAAACATACACCAAATTGTTAAAGGTGGGCAGGAGGAACTAGTTGAAAGGAGATTCATTCTGTGCTGTCTTAGTTGTTTATAAGCATGTATTATTTTTCTAAATTAAAAGTAAAGAAAAGGGCAAGTGAAGTGGAGCACACCTATAATCCCAATGACTTGGGAGGCTGAGGCAGAAAGATCACAAATTCAAAGCCAGCCTCAGCAAATGAGCGAGTCCCTAAGCATCTTAGTGAGACCTCTCACTAAGCACCCTTGGGCTAAATCCCTGGTACCAAAAAAAAAAGAGAGAGAGAAAAAGAAAGAAAAAATATTTTCATGCTATTATACCACTTTTCCAGATCACTTCCACTCCCACGAACTGCGGAGGAGAGAGACTATCAGTGGAACCACTCACCCAGAAGTCCTCCCCAGGGCAGGGTCTTCGGCAGACTGTGCAGGTGGCCGAAGCAAAGGTCCCATGAGCTTCAACTAGCTTCGAAGTGGGGATGCCAGACACTGAAATCCAACCAAAGCAAGCATTGCAGCCTTGGGCTGGCATGAGTACCAAGTCAGAAGCATGACTTTTGGATGTGGCAGCATCCTGGAAGGGATCTCAGCCCTCAGGAAAGCCTGGTGTCCCTGCCTATATTGCCAATAGCGATTCTCCACCAACAGAGTAAGGCACAGCGGCTCCCAGCTGGAGCCAAGCCACATTTAAACAAAGCCTTCACTGGGCACAGTGGCACACGCCTGTAATCCCAGCGGCTCGGGAGGCTGAGTCAGGAGGATTATGAGTTCAAAGCCAGCTTCAGCAATTTAGCAAGGCCCTAAGTACTCAGTGAGACCAAGTCTCTAAATAAAATGCAATAAAAAGGGCTGGGGACGTGGTTCAGTGATTAAGTGACCCTGAGTTCAATCCCTGGTACCAAAAAAAAAAAAAAAAAATTCAGTACAAAGGCCTGGGGTATTGCTCAGTGGTAGAACACTGGGCTAGCATGCATAAGGTCATGGGTTCCATCCCCAGTACCAAAACGAAACAAAATCATAACAAAATCTATCGGATATAAATTCAGATAAAATTATTCTGATATTGCTGGGCACAGTGGTGCATTCCTATGATCCCAATGACTTAGGATGTTGAGGCGGGAGTTTCACAAGTTCAAAACCAGCCTCGGAACTTAGAAAGACCCTCAAAATTTAGCAGGACCTTATCCCAAAATAAAAAAGAAAAGGGACTGAGGATGTATCCCAATGGTAGAGTACCCCTGATATTCTACAAAACAAGCAAACTAATATATATGTGTGTATGTGTGTTTGTTTCTAATATCTAGCAATACTCACCCTATTCCATAGACATCAAGTAAAAATGAGGGTATAGATACATTTCCAGAAATTTGCTTGGTGAAAAAATAGACAAAAAGTAATGCCTTAGGAATTTCTCTGTTCGTGCTATCAAGGCCCAGGCAAAAGGCCAGTCAGTGTAGACCATGACAATGAATGATTTGGTGTGGCTGATTCAAAAGGAAATAAAATGCTAATACCTCCAGAGTACTTCCCCTCCTCCAACCTGTTGCCAAAGTTACCTGTCTCCAGGGAACTGTTCCTCCCAGCAAGGAGCTGTTAATTGCCGGGTTTCTGTTCTCAGGACTAAAAGGCTCAAGGGTCACTCCAGTTGAACTGGGCTGACTGGGCTGCGCAAAATAACTACACAAGAGACACAAACACTTTTTTCTTTGGGGTCGCTGTGACGGCTCCTCTGACCTTAAGGGTCCACAGGAAGAGAGAGCACAAGAACACATGCTGACCCCTTTTACTGAGGAGAAGCTATTCAAATGAGGCAAGGGGTCAGGTTTCAGGGGGCTGAGTCTATCTTTATGATGTCCACTGTCAGCAGGTTGACTGACACCTGGGTAGGCCACACCCAAGGGCACAGAAAGAGAAGGGAACACACACAAGGCACTTCCATGGAAGATTCTATCCTAAACAGGGCAAGGAACAGGTGAGTGGAGTGGAGCTTCACCCATGGGGCTGTGGCAAGACACACCCATGTAAGAGACACCGACCCTCGCACCCAAGAACGGTAGGGAAAGCTCTGCCACATTTCTGCAACTAAGCGCCTCAGCACCCAGCCAACTGAGCGCCTCAGCACCCAGCCAACTGAGCGCCTCAGCACCCAACTGGGGAGTGTGACTCAGTCACAGGTAAGGTTGGTCTCTCACAGTTAATAAATACCCACTGGATGTTGCCCTTCCTGCCTGTACCCCTGGGCAGCTTGGTACCTGCCTCTGGATCACTCCACCTTTTGATAAGGTAAGCAAGATGGGAGAAGGGGGCATGAAAACAAAGGAAATCTAAAATCTTTAGAAGAGGCAGGACACCCTCTCTACAGAGGAGCTCCCATCTCTCTCTTCTATCCTTTAAATAAAATTTTTTATTCTTGCCTCAGTGTTTCTCAGGTGTTCAATCTTCCACCTGCAGGTGGCTTCCTACATCCCCATCACTGTCCTAACTGCAGTGCTGAAACTCATGGCCAGGCAGCTCCCACTTTCCCACAAGGCCAGCTCTCCTGACCCTCGGTAGCAAAGCCTCCACAGTGTAGCCGCTGCTGCCTCTGTGAGTCCAAGCCAGAGACTTCACCTCACATGAAACAGGTCCTGAGCAAGGAGACACCTCTTGGGATCAGGCACCTTGCTGCTGGCTCACTGACTGCCCTGCAGCTGCCCCCACTACACCTAACCCAGGTCCCCCCAGATGCTTCCCTGAGATGCATGGCCTGACCTGTCCCCTCTTGTGAATCACTGCTGTTCTGACCCAGACAACACTGAGGGGCCATTAGTGGTTCGAGAGAGTACCAGTTATTTTTTACAGTCTGTATCTTCTAGAGATACTCACTGATTTACTTCTAGATTGTTTCTAGATTAAATTTACAATGTGATGAATTTGCTTGAAAACATCCTGGAGGTGAGAAAGAAGGTGGGGAAACAGACAAACAAGGACTGGGCCATGTGTCAGATATGGAAACTGAGTGGGAGGACAGAGGATTTCTTGTACTTTTTATTTCTGTATGTTCCATACATTTCTTCTTTCCCCGCCCCCCGTCACAGCGACCCCAAAGAAAAAGGTATTTGTGTCTCTTGTGTAGTTATTTTGCGCAGTCCAGTCAGCCCAGTTCAACTGGAGTGACCCTTGAGCCTTTTAGTCCTGAGAACAGAAACTCTTAGTGAGACAGAGTTTCACTAAGTTGCTTAAGGCCTCATTAAGTTGCTGAAGCTGACTTTGAATTTGCAGTACTGTCTCAAGTTTCCTGAACTGCTGGGATTACAGACCTAACCACCATGCCCAGCTCCATGTATTTCTTAAAACAGAAAAAAATGAAAGAAATATTCATACCAGATCAGCAAAACAATGTCAACTTAAGTTCTGTCCAAAACTCACAACTCTGCAGGAAGACAGGCCCACAGGGAGGTCCCAACAGAGGTCTAGTTGGCTCAAAACAGCACCAAAAATGAGGTATTAGCAATGGCCGGAGCCCCACCTGGAAACAGGCACAGATGTGATGTGGAGAGGAAACAGAGGCTCACCTCTCTCAAGTCCATCGATGTTCTGTGTGTAGAGACGCAGAAGCAGTCCCTTGTCATGAAGCAATCGGAGAAAGTAGTGAGTGGCATTGGGCCTATAGTTTCCAGGGTACAGCTCCTTGGCTAAGGTGAAAAAGGGCTTGGGGTTGTGGAAAAAAAATTCCAGTTCAAAAATGGCTTCGGGGTATGGGATGTTGTACTGCTGGAGGTTGCTATAGAGGCCGCTCCCTGGAGATCTGCAGAGTGAGAAGGAAGAGGTTCTGAGCCCACCAGGAGAGAGTGGGGAAGCCTCGGCAAGGGTTACCGTGGTACCTGAAATCTGGAATGCCGCTGGGTGTGCTGATGCCAGCCCCCACCATGACCACCACCTTCTGACAGGCTCGAACCCGGATCAGCTCAGCGATGTCCTGCAGGGACAGTTTCTCTTTCTCACTGTTGCCTCCACTTCCAAAGATGCCTGAAGCACCCACAGACAGTGAGATGGCCCTTCGTCCACTTGTAATACTGAGAGCAAATGCAGAATAGAAAGACAACCAGCTTCACGCTAGCAAGAACGAGCACACTCTACCCTTCCCATCGTCAAAAAGGTCATGCACATCACTTCAGTCCCCCCAAAACAACCAACTTTCTCACCATGGCTGACCACTGGCTAAAACAGAAAGCAGTCACAAATCAGAAATCAAGACTATTTGGTAGCAAAAACTTCCAGTTAATAGGCACTGTGTAATCAGGAAAGCATCACTTGTGAGTGAGGCCATCAAAGCAGTGCTAAGAAGTCCTCATAGAAACTCAAGCCAGGGCCAAAAGTATTCTTTGTGAAGGCTCTGGGGCACATGTTCCACAGAGCTACACACCTTAAGGTACACGGGAAGTGATGAAAATACAGTGAGTTTAAAGTAATTCTCAGGTTTTGCATCAAAATATTATTGGGATAAAAGCTGGTCTCTCTAAAGACTATTCCAGAAAGAAACATCTATGCCCTGACAGGGGTTCAGGGTGCTGCACAGAGTTCATCTTTAATGTCTGCAGATGGGGGCAGCTCAGCTAAAATTACAGCAGCTAAAATTACACAATCAGGCAAGGCAGAAGGTATACTGCAGCTCGGGGTTCTCGTTGCAAAGCTCTGGAAAGTTCTTAAGTCACCTCCAGAAGCCAAGAGCCAAGATTGGGAGTATGAATGGTCTTTATAGTAAAGGGCACAAAACACATAGAAAAACAAGTCACAGGCTTCAATGAGGCCACAGGACTTTGTAAATGACACTACATCTGAGCAGACAAGAAAACAAAGCAATACAAATGACACAGAGCCTGTAGCAGCACCTGAAGTTCAGGGCAAGAGGCACTGCAGCTGCAGAAACCCTGGAGGCCTCCTGAGACAACAGTCTTGGCTTCTAGAGCCTTCTGGACATCTCACCAAGAATCTAAAATCTAATGGCAAAAGAAATTCCCAACTGCAAGTCTGGGCAAATAGTCTGCTTCTCATAGGAAGCCCTACAACTTCTGTGTTAAAACCAATGGTGGCAAAGGTTGGTTTAATGGCAGCCAGTCTTGCAGATAATCTCGGTAATAAGAACTGGCTCTACAGAAGCAAGCGTCTGTCCTGGTACCTGCTCTATCCCCAGCACCAGAAGAGGGCCTGTACAGAACAAGAGCTCAGTAACGTTACCCTTGACGAAAATCTCTTTATTAACCTTTCAATATGTATCAGATGAATTTACCATTATTTACTTGAATATCCCCCCATTACAAAGCATCTAAGTTCATATCCTAACAACTACGGACCTTAAGATTTTCCCATATGTAAGCTCAATTCCCATGTAAGGATCAGAGTGCCTGCCTAGCATGTGCAGGGCCCTGGGATGGACTGAGTGGCATTCCAGAAAGGGCAGTTACTGGGTGTAGTCACCTACCCGGCAGTTCTAACTGCACGACCTTACGTGAAGAAGGCCATTAAAACGTTAAATACTTTTAGACCTAAAGTCCCAATCAATACTAGGAATTTATCCAAAAACCCAAGGTACAAGCAAAGTAATTCGGCACAGCGTCATTTGTAAAAGCTACAGATTAGACACTGTTTCCACCCGTGAACGATCAAAGTGGTCATGAAGTATCCACCTAATGGACCTTCACAGACCAGCAGAAGGGCCCACTGCCGCGGACCCAACCAGCAGACCCGCGTCCAGAGCCGAAGGGGCCCTGCGCGATCCGGGCCTCCGAGGGCGCACCTGCCTGGCTCCCGCCGGCCGCGAGCACAGGCGCGGGACTGTGGGGCGGGCGCGGGGCCAGGCCGCCCACCTCCCGGGCCCCACCGTCTGAGAGAGGCCAGCCACCGTCGGCCCCACAGCGCCATGGTGCTCCTTCCGCCGGCGTCCGCAGGTCACGTGCCCCGCCCCGCCCCGCCCCGCCCCGAGCGCCGTCCCGGGGAGCTCCGGCCCCGTGCCCAGCGCCTAGCTGTGCGCTCGAGCCCCACCGCGCACACGGCCCTCGCGAGTTCTGGTCAGGGCCCAAGTCCCGTCCCCGGGACCCGCTTCCCTGTCCCTGCGAGCTCCTGCCCCACCCAAAGAGACAGCCCCGAGTGAGCTCGTCCGCCGCCGGAGCCCCGTGAGCTCGTTCCCCGCGAGAGCACCGTCCTGTGAGCTCCTGCTCCTGCTCCACGCCAAGACTCATGCCCGCCCTGCCCTGCGCGCTAGGGTGGAGGTGGACGGAGGCTGGGGTGGTTTCCCGGGTCTGCTGGGCTCCGGCCTCTGGCCCTAGGCGCCACGGAGATGACAGCTAACACTTGTCCCCGCAAGACACTCCCAGGAAGGTGCCAGGACCATCCCCATGGGAGAGGGTCTCGGACCTTCAGGCTGAGGCCGCACGGCCAGCCGGGGCCGGTTGGCCGCTGGCGCCCGTTCTCTTTAATGTCTCCAGAGCCAGGCCTGGTGCAGGAAGCCGGTACAGACCCCCGAGAGATTTTGCCCCCAACGCGTCAGAGCGTGGTTACCCTGGCGACAGCGCGCCGCTGGAGCCAGCTGCGACGCTCCCGGCACGCCCCGCGCCACCCGGGCCGGAAGTGAGTGAGCACTTCCGGCCGCCATCCCCGCGGCCCTGACACCTCGGCGCTCTCCCTGTCCCGGCTTATTCCTGCCATCATGAAGGATGTGCCGGGCTTCTTACAGCAGAGCCAGAGCTCCGGGCCCGGCCAGGCAGCCGTGTGGCACCGTCTGGAGGAGCTCTACACGAAGAAGTGAGCACCGACGCGAGGGGCCAGGGCCTGTCCGAGACCGGCCGTGGGCGCCGGGACCCGAGGCGGGGAGGGAGAGTGTGGGGAGAGTGGACGGGCTGTGCCGGGGAAGGCCTGTGCCGTCCTGAGGGTGGCGGCCGGGGACGAGGAGGGCCGGAGCGGGTTCACTGCCTTCCTGCGCTGGGCGCTGGCACGGAGGCGCTCAACTCTCCCTTCTCCTGGCGCCACCACAGGGGTTCGGGGTTGGCCTGTGCTTGAGCTCTTGATTCGGTCAGAGCACACTTTCAGAGCCAGAGTGCCACCCTGTGGGGAAACAGCTCTTGGAGACTTGTGTCTAGCCACGCCATGGTGCGAGTGAATCCACAGCTAGTTTTCTTACCGTCTGAAACCGGTGAGCCGAGGTTTTCCTTTGATTCTACAGCTGATCACGCAGGGTGCAGCCACTGCCACTCTCCCATGGTGTCCACTTTCCATAATATTCCACACTGGCTTTGTGCCTCCAGAGATCTCAGAGTTTAATTCCCTCAGAAACAGGGTGAACTTCAGAACAATTTTCTGTTGCTAAGCACCAACCTCTATTTAAATGAGTAAAGTAAATCGTTAGTTTTGGCCTAGACCTTGCTCATAGGGAAACACATCTGCTGTAGGAACCTTGCTGATGGATATTTAGCATAGAGTCTTTCACAGCATGTCTTGTTTGTTATTAATGGTGTTGGGCATTGAACTTAGGGTTTCACACATGCCAGGCAAGGGCTCTGCCACTGAGCCACATCCCAGCCCATGCACAGCATGTTTTGATGCTGTTCAGTAGCCTGCTAATAGCAGTTTTTTGGAGAAAAGTATTAGTATTTGGCAAAAAATTGCTTTGTAGGTAGTATTTGTATTTATATATATTTATATTTTTTAGTTGTTGAACCTTTATTTTATTCATTTATTTATATGTGGTTCTGAGAATCAAACCCACTGCCTTACACATGCTGAGCAAGTGCTTTACCACTGAGCCACAACTCCAGCCCAAAGTACTTTTTATTTTTTAAAGCATTTTATCTGTACTTTAAATATTGGCTTTTTTTTTTTTTTTAAGAAATGTGCTGTGTCAATGTCCTGCAAGTATATTATTAGCTTATTTCTTCCTTCATGTCCCATTCATGAATGAGGAAATTGAAACTTGGTTTCCTCAACTTCTTTGAGATACTCACCTAATGAATAAAAAAAAAAGAGACTAGATTTCAGTTTAACTGTCTGATTCCAAAACTCTTGTTTCCAGTTGAACCTCCTGAATTTTTTGAAGTAGTATAAACAGAAATTCTCTCTTTCATAGCTGGGAAACCTGTGTTTTAGAGTAAGTCAGCTCTATGTGACATAAACATTGAGTGAAAAGAACTGAGGTCTATTACCATCTGTACTAGCCTTCTTCTATGCAGTCAGGACTGGTCAGCTTTGTTATCTGCTGGAACACTGAGGTTCCAGAGGTCTCAACTACCTTTTGGTTGATTATCTGAAGGGCCTTGTGTTTTCCAGGTTATGGCATCAGCTGACACTTCAAGTGCTTGATTTTGTGCAGGATCCATGCTTTGCCCAAGGAGATGGTCTCATTAAAGTAAGTGATTTGTGTCATATGAATATATAAGAATATACTCAAGGACTTTTCACAATAATAGATGATAATGATAATGAACTACACATATTCAGAAATAACTTTGTCTCCAGGAATGTTGTGAGGAGTTTGCATATTTATTCCTACTCTTCACATCAATGTTGAAAGACAAGTAGTATTCTTATCTCTTTTTCTTTTTTAGTGTGGAAGCAGGCATAAGGGGTTAAGTAATTTTCCATAGGTCACAGCTAATAAGCCACAGAAGAGCATTCAGTTTCTAAAATTCTAAACCAGGGCTAGTGTAGCCCAATGCATGAAGTATGTGCTTTCCATCCCCAGCACCACCAAACCAAAAAAAAAAAAAGAAGCAGCAGCAGGCACAATGGCATACGCCTATAAACTCAGGAGGATAAGATCAAAAAAGATCCTGAATTCAAGGCCAGCCTGGGCAACACAGCAAAACCCTGTCTCAAAAAGTAAATAAATTTCAGGGGCTGGGGATGTGGCTCAAGCGGTAGCGTGCTCGCCTGGTATGCGTACGACCAGGGTTCGATCCTCAGCACTACATACCAACAAAGATGTTGTGTCCGCCGAGAACTGAAAAATAAATATTAAAAAAAAATTCTCTCTCTCTCTCTCTCTCTCTCTCTCTCTCTCTCTCTCTCTCTCTCCTCTCTCACTCTCTCTTTAAAAAAAAAAAGTAAATAAATTTCAAAAAATAAATAGAATTCTAGCCTAAAATACTGTCTTATAGTGTGCCCTGGTAAAAAAGAAATTTTTTAATTGCTGCTTTTGGAAAACTTTCTCAAAAATGGAAAATAAAAACCAGTTAGGGGACACAGTAGGAAACAGAAGAGAAATATTGCAGTAGGTCATTTTCTAGGTAACCCCTTTACTCCTCTCCCTCACCCGTGTCTGACTCTGCTTACACAGACATCTGTCCTGAGTAATGTAGAAGACAGGGCACCTTTTGTACGTTAGTTGAGAATGGGTAGTTGGAGTGGGGACTGCACATATCATGCTGCCTCAATAATAGAGCACTTTTAGAATTTTTTCAACAGGAGGAATAATGAGGATACACACTATTCCTAGCCGTCTTCAGATCCCTAACAAATCCCCATGGGTGTGTTCACACATGAAGCCTCCTCTTTGAGGTCTTTCCTGACAGCTTACTCTTTGATGACATTCTCTGATTTTGAGTTAGATATTGTTATATTATAGCCAGCTTATAATTATAGCTTATTTCTCCTGAATATGTTACTTTATAGTGCACATAGTAAAGGTTTCTACCCACCTTATCATCATTTTTTTCTTTTTTTTTCTTTGTAAGTGGACACAATGCCTTTATTTTTATTTATTTTTATGTGGTGCTGAGGATGGAACCCAGTGCCTCACCCGCCCCAGGCAAGCGCTCTACCATTGAGCCACAACCCCAGCCCCACTCTCAGTTTTTATACCCCTCAGTTTGACATTTTTCTACCCAAGGAATTTTCAGTTATCTGTGAGCCTGAAGATTTTGCTGAGCATTTCATCTTCTGAATCATGTGGAAAATGAAAAAAGAGCTGGGAGTGCTTGTACTTGTCTGTAATTCCAGCAGCTCCAGAGGCTGAAATAGGAGGATCATAAGTTTGAAGCCTGCCTTAGCAACTTAACTGAGACCCTATCTTCAAAATAAAAAGGACTAGGGATATAGCTTAGTGGTAAAGTGCACCTGCATTAAATCCCCAATCCAAAAAACAAGTCCTAAGACAGATCTCAATACTTGCACTCCATGATTTTACATTATAAAGACATATAGTTCACAATTATTGCTATGCTTTGCTTTCTTTTTTGTCATTTTTCTTTTTAGTTATGCATGACAGGTGGATGTATTTTGACATACGCATACGTGGAGTATTACTTCCTACTTGAGTGGTTATACATGATTTGGAGTTAAACTGGTTGTGTTTTCATGTATAAACATAGGAAAGTTATATCCAATTCATTCTATTGAATTTCCCATTCCCATCCCTCTCCCGTTACTTTCTTATCTTTAAATCACTTTTACACACATGACAAAGAATTTGTGCAACCTCAGGTAATGTGACATTCAGGTCAACATACTTGTTTTCTTTTTTCATGGATAAAATAGTCCTCAAAAATCGTTCAGAACCAGCCCACATAATTGTAACATGAATGGTGTTCATGAATTTATAGTCACCAGAAGAAATTTTGAGTTCCTGGACTTGGTAGACTTCTTTGTTTAAATAACTCCAAAAAGGGCTGGGGATGTGGCTCAAGTGTGTGGCCTGGGTTCGGTCCTCAGCACCACATACAAACAAAGATGTTGTGTCCAACGAAAACTAAAAAATAAATATTCTCTCTCTCTCTCTCT